TACAGCCATTAAAAAAGAAGGAATGAGGTCTGTGCACATGGCCTGCTATGGAACACTCTCTAAGACGTGTCATTAAGTGAAAAAAATAATGCCAGGAAAAAAAAAAAAAAGCAGCATGTGTCGCTGTGCTATCAGGAGGACAGAGGACAGATACGCTCTGCATAGTTGTATAGCTACAGAATACTTCTGGAAGGACACGTAAGACATTTCTTACTGCGGTTGCCTCTTGAGAGGGCATCTGGGGGACTGATAGCAGGAGCACTTATCCCTTAAACAGCCTTTGGTATTGACCATCAGGTCAGTCAGTCTCTCTTTCTGCCTCTGAACTGGGAGAAGGAAGAGCTGGTAGGGAAGAGAATCAGGACAATGACAGGTGCGCAGACAAGAGGGAGCAGCAGCATGTCCCTGGTGGTACACAGAGAGGCCTGTCCAGCTTTCCCCATCCCTGGAGGCAGCCTGAATCCTGGACTCCCTCCTTCCCTGTGTTCCCTTGAGATCCGGTTCCTCCTCTGCTTGGCAAAGATGGAAGGAGTCTCTAGTCCTTGCACCGAAGGGCTCTGCTCAGCAGCAGGAAGGGCCGTGTGTGCGTGCGCGTGCACTTGTATGTGCATACAAAGGGGAAGCTTAACGTTTTCTAGGTGGTTGAGTTAAATGACTTTTGCAGTCCTTCACAAAGTGAGCTTAGCAGACGGGTGTGCTGGGAAGAGCATTTTTCAGAATCTCCAATCGGCTGCAAAAGAAGGCAGTCCGTCGTCACGGGAGCCTCTCAGACTGGCTCAGGGCGGGGGGCGCATGAGCTAGCCTGCCTGGGGCCCACCCGCCTGGGGGCACACAGCCAGGAGACTGGAAGGCTGGAATCAGTCCAAAGTCCAGCTGGAGCAAGGGAGACCCCTTCAGCAAGAAGCACAATCGTGCACTCTGTCCAAGGGCATGGGTGCCTCTCCGTTAACTGCCAGACATGCTAAGAAATGGTTAAAATAATGTAACACCTAACGTTTATGGAACGCTTAGGATGGGTCCTGGCACCGCGCGAGGTACTTTAACACGTTACTGCCTAGTAGACACAATCTCGGGAGGACAGGGGTCAAGAGAATCGTCCAAGGTCCTATGGCTGGGATTTGAGGCAGAAGCACATGTGGCTACTAATTCGGTCTCCAGGAGTCCCTGTGTCTCTGTGCAGCAGGACAAGTCTCCAGTGCCACGTCGGTGAGCCCCACGGTGCCGTGGCCACCAGTATGGACGCTGGAGGGGCGACGAATCAAGATCTGTTCCCTCCTCGGTGGTTTTCTTTTTTACTTTTTTAAACACTGTGTGATAAATCTACTTCCTAATGATTTTTGAGTAAACTACAATGACCACAATTTCAAAGTCATTAATAATTCATGACCGAGGGCCATAAACACTATATAATCTCCATAGGCAAGAAACCACGAATACTTGTGAGCGACAAGGCTGAGAATATCTTTGCCAGCTAAACGGAAGTACGTACCCGCTTCGAGCTACGCCTCCCATACGCGTTTCAGAAATGACCGCAGCCCTTCCAAAGCCTGGGTTCCAGCCTTCTTTCCCTCCTCCAGCACCCCACCCCCTGGGGTTTTATCTGTGCCTGTGGCACGGCTCGAGGACTGAGGTGTCCTGGGGCCAGGCAGCCAAGCAGAGCTCAGGGAAGGATCTGAGCTGACAGCCAGGGGTTACTTTCACCTGTGGCTGCACACCTGTGGCTGCACACCGGAACCCCTTGGGGGGTGGTCACAAAATTCCGAAGCCTGGGTCCCACCCCTGGAGATTCCGATTTAACTGGTTTGAAAAGAGGCCTAAACTTCGGGGTATTTAAAAAGCTCCTGGGGATTCTAATGTGCAGCAATGTTGGTGACCACTGCCACGGTGTGGTTGCTGCTCTCTCTTGGCCACCGAGCAGGTGTGTGTGGAGGCAGGCATGGCAGAATGGAGCGCCCCACCGAAAGGAGCTCTCCTCAACACCAGCCATTGCCCGGTGTTGCCTTAAGGGAGTAAGGCCTCTGTGGTCGTTCTCCATTTTAGCAAAGAAGCCAGAAGTGCGCATTGTTCTGTGAAAATTGTAAATGCGGATGCCTAATTTTTAAAAAAGGTGTAATGGGGGAAGGTGTCTGGGTGGTTCAGTCGGTTAAGCACCCGACTTCGGCTCAGGTCAAGATCTCACAGTCTGTGAGTTCGAGCCCCGCGTCGGGCTCTGTGCTGACAGCTCGGAGCCCGGAGCCTGCTTCGGATTCTGTGTCTCCCTCTGTCTCTGCCCCTCCCCCACTCATTTTCTCTCTCTCTCTCTCTCTCTCTCTCTCTCTCTCTCTCAAAATAATAAACATTAAAGATTTTTTAAAAAATAAATAAAAAATTGTAATGGAGTCCGGGCCAAATAAAACACATCTTTGGGCTGAATTTGGCTGGCAAGTTCATTGCAAACAGCCTCCCCTCCTCCCCTCACCATGCTGGCCCATGACGGCGGCGCGGAGAAGTTCCCAATCCCAACCCGGGGAGGAAACAGCACGTTCACCTGCCACGGTGTGAGCCGGCCCGTGTCACCTGACCACCAGAGGAACACGAAGAACCTCCCTGTCTGCTTGTTCCCACGAGCTTGTCTTTTCCTCGCCGTTCATGGTGACAGAGTCTGATCTATACCCGGCATCCTGTGTAAGGCACAGAGTGTCAGGAAGAGCAGATTTCACAGGTGGCGTGGGAGGGATGCGGAAAGGGGAGGAAGGTGGAAAAAAGCACGTTATATCAAGATGAGCATCTGCCAGCTTTTGCCATTAGTTTCCTTCTCCTATTTTTTCTTTTTTTTTTTTTTAATTTTTTTTTTCAACGTTTATTTATTTTTGGGACAGAGAGAGACAGAGCATGAACGGGGAAGGGGCAAAGAGAGGGAGACACAGAATCGGAAACAGGCTCCAGGCTCTGAGCCATCAGCCCAGAGCCTGACGCGGGGCTCGAACTCCCGGACCGCGAGATCGTGACCTGGCTGAAGTCTGACGCTTAACCGACTGCGCCACCCAGACGCCCCCCCTTCTCCTATTTTTCTAACCAAACAAAAGCCCTGTGAGGAGAACCAGCACCCTCTTTTTCAGAAAGGCCTGAAACCATTTTAAATCTCTCAGATATTGTGATAAATATCTCCACTCTCTTGGTTTGTTTGGTTTTTTTTTGTCTGTTTGTTTGTTTCTCGTTCCAAGCTCTTCGCCAGGCGGAGTGATCTGAAATGCTCTGGGGCAACTGGCAGGATGGGAGTAGCCAAGAAAGCGGCAATTAGGAAGCCCTGTTGCCAAGGAGAAAGACTGAGGAGGAAAAGAGTATCTCAACTAGTCACCCGCTGCCCTGCTTTGTTGATTCCCAGCAAATTTCTTAATGAAGATAAATGGGATGCTGTTACTCTGTGATCAAAAGCCTCGGTTAGGTCGAAACAATTCATGCCTGGCTTGGGAACGGGGAGCGGGGGGGGGGGGGGGGGTGGCCCCCCCCCCCCCAGGTCACGCCCCAAGGGGGGGGGGGGACCAGGAGCTTGCGGGCCTGTGCTCACGCCTGTTCCGGGCTCCTCTGCACCCCCTAGTCTCTGGAAAGACTTTGCGGGAGACGTGCACATCTGTTCCTGCTTCCAGAAAAATGTTCTTACCAGAAAGGAGTGATGGAATCCACCCCGGCTCAGTTTCTAGAACGTCCACTGGGGCTGACACTTAAATCTTTTTAGTAGCACCAAAGTCCCTAAGTTATCTCTCAGCCCTCGTCCCAGGTAGGCTGCTTGAATGAGAAGAAAACCCACGGTGGCTGTTCTGGCTACAGTTGAGAAAGGAGACAAGAGGGCCATCGCAAAGGCCCTTTGCAGTCCAACCCCAACCTGCCTCCTCAGAGCTGGTTTGGGAGGCCAACACAGAGGACACAGACATGGAAGGAGAAAGACCAAGTGTTGTGGCCATTTCTGAGCCCCTGGACCCAGTTTAGCCTGGGAAATTCCTTTTCATTGTTGGAATTATGTCACTTTACAAGCAAGAGTGTTAACACGGAAGTGTTGATGAATTTCAGGATTGGTCGATACTTATGACGAGCCACACGCCTGCATACCCATGTACCCCTACACTCGTCTGTGGCTAAAGACTCCAATTCAAACTCCCATGAGCTTGAAGATGTCATCAAAGGGCCCTGCGGTGACCTATGGGTCCTTGCTATCACTGTGTACTCCCAGGCTCAGCTAGTCTTGCAACTTTCCCTATTCGTGTCTCTCTGACTTTGACTTTGACCATGCTGCACACCCCGAGACCAGGGCTGTGTCTCTCTCATCCCTGGTGCCGGGCACAGAGCAAGTGGGCTCGGTGTGGCAGGTTTCAAGAAGGGCCACAGTATCTGTAGATTTCTCACCCAGAGGTGAGACCTATTTCCCCACCCAGCGAATCTGGGCTGGCCTTGTGACCTGTTTTAAGGAAACAAAGTAGCAGTAGTGACACCAGCTGGGGGGGGGGGGGGGGGGGGGGGTCCAGCAGCTTCCACTCTTCATGTGCGTGGCCCTGTGAACCTCCACATGAATAAAGCTGGCTGCCTTGCTGGCGGACGAGAAAGCATTCAAAGAGAGCTGAAGCACACTACTGATGCTCAGCCATCCCCAAGGCGACACGGCGGCTCACTGCAAAAGCCTGAGTGAGTCCAGCAGAAATCAGCAGACCTGCCCAGCTCCAATGGCCGACCCACAGAATCACCAACTGAATGCACAGTTCTTGTTCCACATCCCTGAAACGTGGGTTTGGGATTGCTCAGTTACACAGACAAAGCTAACTGACACACTTCCTAAGAAATTGTCACTACAATGTAGCGACACTTTGGTTGAGAGCTCTAATTGCCAGCTAGCATTTGGTCCCGGATTCAAGCTGGAGACTCAGAGGGAAACAAGAAGGAAATCCAGGAAAACTTATTCACCAGCATGCTCCCTCAGGTGCCTTCAAACAGAGTCGCCTCCCACCCACCCTCACCAGTGACACATTTACCTCTTTTTTCTCCCACGAGCAGGACCGGCTTCTGTCAGCCTTCCGCGGAATCTGACCTGTGGCAGTTCAAAAGCAGAACCAGAGATTAAGGCTCTTTTAAAACAGCTAGTTTATCACCGTGAAAGCTTTTTATTTGCAAACTGAATAGACGGGACCAATCATAATCAAATGATTTTAAGAAAATGTAGCCTATTATTATAGTGGGAAAATGGCATGCTCTTGAAATAGACCAACGGCAAGGAAATGGTAATTCACACGCTCACGTTATTTGACTGTAATGAACAAAGCCTCAGCTCTTTAATCTGGAACATTATCTGTACTCTGCAAGGGCCGACTGTAGATTTCCCAGTCGAATTACATTTTTATTAAATTGTTTGGAATTATATAAAATGCCTTCCACAAAAATGCCTTCCACTGTGCGCATACACATAACCTTTGATGAGTGCACACCAAAGTGCTTCACCAAACCCCCAAACTCAACACCTAGGTGATGGTGCAGATGTGAATTAGCAGTAATCACCCGCATCTCCCATATAACAGGTAATTTCAGAGAGAATGTTGCTTTTCTTAGAAAATCGGAAGACTAACATTTGAGAGTGCGCATAAATTCAACAGCTCAACATCATTATGTTTGTTTAAATATGCTGTTCCAAATGCAGTTTTCACAACTTTTATGGAAGTGTCCATTGTAAAAGGATTCCTTGATGGAAAATTAATGGATGGCCTTGGTTTTAAAACACAAAGTGGGAACCTCTGTGCTTTGGCAACGTGTCTTCCAAACTATCCGGCCTCACTCTTGGGTGGCGATTTATGAGGAAATCACAGCCACGTGTCCCATGAGCCAAGAGCACGCCAAAGCAGGAGGAAGAAAGCTTAGTGATGACTCATCAAGAGGCAAGAAGTGGGGACCGAGTCTCAGAGGAAAGATGTTTGTCTCTGGTTGTGGTCGCTTCTGGTAGGTCTACACAGGTGTGGGGGACCTCATAGCTGGTGATAAAGCACAAGTCAAGGGATGATGCTCTTTCCAAGAAAGTGAAAATAAGGGGAAAAGCAAAGGTCCACAGATGACCCTCTGACCATGGCCAAATTTTTGCACCAATGTGATAAAAGGATCTAGAAAAGAGGCTGCTGGAGAGTGCATAGACACTCTGGATTACACAGCATCGTGGTATGATAGACGTCTTCTGGGTTGTCTGCTCAGCTCACAGGGACACCCTAAACTACTTCCTTCTCTCTCACTCTCCTCCCTGTCCTCAGCGGGGAGCTCCCTGGCAGCCATGACGTGGTACAGGACCCCAACCCCAGTATGGGGCACTGGGGATGGGCCCCTGACCCAACCACAGTCGATCAGAATGCCAGCCCCAGGAATTTGACATTGGTTTGGAAAGACAGAGAAGACAGAGGGCCAGAGCAGGGCTATTTCCACCTGTGAACTTTGATGCGGTCGGCACCCTCCTGCCTTGGGGGACAGACTGACACAGAACGCCAAGGCAGAAAGAACAGATCTGAAATTGACTGCATACCTGTCTTTGCGTTCCACAGACACCCACTTAATATACCACTGACATGCTGGATGCCAACAGCGGGGGAAGGCCGTATGTGTGTGCGGACAGCGAGTATATGACACCTCTCTGTACTTTCTACTCAGTTTTGCTATCCATCTAAAATTGCTCTAAAAAAGCTTATTAATCAAAAAAAGAAAAAAAGACCCAGAATCAGGGATCAGGTGATCTGGGTCGTTGGGCCAATTTTATCCCAACCTCCTGCCCCCTGATGCTCTGGAGCAGGAACTAGGGTGGACAGCACCCAGAAACCCTTGTCCACACCTGCCCTAGCTGTCAGTCAAGGGACTCATCGTAGGCCTGAAGGCCAACGAGAGAGGATGGCATGTCGGGTGGTAGGGCACGCGGGGCAGCACCAGGAGCCCGAAGATTGGCCTGGAGCTCGAAGGGGACAGAGAGGGTTGGAGACCAGGGTGTTCTACAGAAGCAGTCCCGAGGCAAGTAGGATCCCAGTAGGAGCAAAAAGGGCCCAGAGTGAAGCTGGGGAGAAGGAGAGCAGAGCTAGCCCAGGGGCAAACAAGGCAGTCCCCAGAGCCTGGCTACAGCTCCTCCAATGCTAGTCCGACACATGCCAAGGGACCTGGTCCAGTGGACAGCTGACCAGTTTACGGGAGCTTGGACAAGTCGCAGGATCCCACAGGATCTCTCTGGGCCATATTTTCTCCCTATTTTTTTTTTTAATTAAAAAAATTTTTTTTAATGTTTATTTTTGAGAGAGACGGGGCATGAGTGGGGGAGGGGCAGAGAGAGAGGGCGACACAGAATCCGACGCAGGTTCCTCCGGGCTCTGAGCTGTCAGCACAGAGCCCGACGCAGGGCTCAAACCGAGAACCATGAGATCATGACCTGAGCCGAAGTCAGATGCTGAACCGACTGAGTCACCCAGGTGCCCCATTTTATTTTTAAATTTTAAATGAGAGTTAGGCTAAATCACCTCTGGGGTTGCTTTTCATCTCTAAAATTCGGTTACGCCAACAGAGAACAGTAAGAAAAGTCTTAAGGTGGGCCATAAAAACAAAACATTAATACAAAGAACACAGAGCTTGACTACTGAATTTTGAAAGCAAATCTCTCTCCTGGAGTTCGTTAGAAGCTTCTTATTCATGGGGCGCCTGGGTGGCTCAGTGGCTTAAGCAACCAACTCTTGATTTCGGCTCAGGTCAAGATCTTGCGGTTGTGGGATCGAGCTGCGCGTTGGGATCCGCCGTGAGCGTGGAGCCTGCTTGGGATCCTCTCTCTCCTTGTCTCTCTGCCTCTTCCCCACTCACGCTAATGCACTCTCTTTCTCTCAAAATAAATACATAAACTTCAAAAGGAGCTTCTTGTTCATTAAATTGGGAAACAATTTGCTTACTTTCCAGTGAAGAAAATTCACTCTCATTATACACGCTTGTTCCCTAACGCCTGTGTCCTCAGGCCACTGAGCCCCTCTCTCTCTGTTCCAGGAAGCTCAATGTGGAGACTGCTCCTTCTCACCAAGGACGGAAGAAATGAGATTACATTGCCCCTGTCTACTGCACTTAGCTTCTCGGAGTATCTTCCTACTTATATCTCGTTTTATTCTCATGACAGTCAGGGAGGCAGGTGGAAGAAGGTGACATTAATATCAATAAATGCTGCTTGCAAAATTAAGGGGGTGTTCCCCTGCATTTTGCAAGGTGACCTGTCAGCTCCAGCCATGAGACGATAAATAAGGCCAAATGTAAATGATACACGTGTACGTCGCGTTACAAAACGGATGTGTGCTTGGGGAAACGGAAAAAAAAAAAAAAGGGTGTGAATGCATATAATACTACGCTCCCACTTATGACTTCAGAGAGATTTTATCTGCACTTTGGATTTATTTTCAATGGTTCGAGGATTCTGACACTTTGGTTTTACTTTGCTCTGGAGGCAGATAATAACATTCATCGCTGCCATTTAGAAGGGAGGTGCATCTTGCTTGGATGCCAGCTTCTGAAGCCAGCAGGCGAGGGAAAACCAGCGTCAAAATTACCCTCAAAAAAGCCTTAAGCCTCCTGTGAAGTGCAGTCCACAGGACACAGCCTTTTACATCCACTGCTGTGGACTACTTAGGATGTGAAATGTACGGTGCATGATAAAAATACATATGCCTGATATCATTTGATGGTATTTCTAATTAAATTATTCGTATTGTAATTACTCCCTCTATTTTTCCTTTAGGGTAGAAGAAGAGTGGCAGCGGGGGAGGCTGAGGACCAGGCACCAAGTTCAAGAATGTGAATGCTCCACTGAACCGGACACCTACTACGTGCCAGGTTCAACACACAGCCTTCATCCCCTGCATCCTCAGAACCACTCCTGGAGGTCAGGGGTCAGCGAACTTGTCTTGTAAAAGGACAGACGGTAAAGATTGTGGCAAGAGAACAGCTACAGACGATATGTAAACAAATGGGCGCAACTGTGTTCCAATAAAACTTTATTCACAAATGCAGGCTGCAGGCCAGTTGTCAGCCCGGTTGGTCACAGTTTGCTGACTCTTGCTTTAGATGCACAGCACCATGGGGCGCTTGGGTGGCTCAGTCAGTAAAGCATCCAACTTCAGCTCAGGTCATGATCTCACAGTTTGTGGGTTCGAGCCCTGCATCGGGCTCTGTGCTGACAGCTCAGTGCCTGGAGCCTGCTTTCAGTGTCTCTCTCTCTCTCTATCTCTCTCTCTCTCTCTCTCTCTGCCCCTCCCCCACTCATGCTCTCTCACTCTCTCTAAAACAATAAATAAACATTAAAAAAAACAGGTGGACAGTACTATGCCCTTGGCACAAACCAAGGAAGAAATGAGACACAAACTTTGAGTGAGTGATTGAGCTGCTTTTTCAAGGCCACACAAACGTATCTGGTAAGTGACAGGGCTCAGTGTGCTCCTAATCATGAGCGTCACTAACATTATCACAATCACAAGCATGTTAATCGCTGCCATTACCATGTGAGCTCACTTTAGTCAGGTTTACTATGTGCCCGGCACTGAGCTCAAGGCTAAGTACGTGAACCAACTCATGTGCTCCTCTCAGCTACCCAAGAAATAGGCACTATTATCATCCCACTTGTCAGATGCGGTCACTGAGATCCAAAGAGGTTAGGAAGCTTGCCCAGTATCACGCAGCTAGTGACTAGAGAAGCCTCAACCTGGATCTGAGCAGTCTGGCTCCAGAGCCTACGCTCCTAACCACTGGGCCACACTGCTCCTCAGTCAGGGCTTTGAAGACAAGTACAAGAACACCAGAATGTGCCGGGGAGGGAGTCTGATTTAAGGAATTCTTTCTGCGACGCAGCTTTTGAGTGTACTTTGCACTCCTAGAGCAATTCATAAGGGGGTTAGATAAAAATGATTCCCCAATTATCCAAGAAGATGGCGTTGCCGGCCAGCCAGGTAAATACCATAAAGTGGCCAAAACGGTAAGGCTCGGCATTAGGCGCTCACTCCCATCTACTCAGGTGAAATGCTCAGCCTCGGCAGAAAGAGTTGGGCTTTGGAG